GAGGCGAGAGAAAAAATATGAAGTTGAATATTCAATTAAATTGACATTTATGGTTAAAAAAATAATACTGACAAATATGGTAATTATTTTTTAAAAAATAGACACACAAGTTATTTTCCCTTTACCTAATTTACACTAAAAATTTTTGCTGAAAGGGCCCTGGCCCATTTTCCTGAAAAAAGAAATAGGATATACAAATGATGTATACTGTTGTGTATGGTGTATATCCAATTCCGTTTTGGACCTTTTGAGCCCTGTAATCTGTTTGAATACGAATTCTCGCGATTCCACCTGTATTTTCCATATTATTTCGGCGTATTTATACCTGTACAATTTTTATACTATTTTAACATTTGTATATCGCTGCCCAAATGATGTATACCAATGTATACGGGCTATATCCTATGCACATATTCATTCACTATTCCTTTATTTTACTTGAAATTGCCGTCCTTGTACTTTAAACCTGCAATTTGCATTTTTTACACCTATTTGGCATAGCGTGTATGTATATTAGTGTATACGGATGATATATCAGCCTGTTTTTCAACTTTCGAAAGTTGAAAGTTCTTTTTCAGCAGCATATTTTCACTGCTATCAATCCAGATTTCAAATTTGGCTTCCTGTGCACATTTCAACCTGTATATCGGTGTATAAAATATGTATATAGCTGGTAGACAGCTTCTCAACATCTGCAAATTTAATTTTCAGCACTGCATCTGCTGGTTTCACAACCTGTACGCCAGTTATGAGGGGGGTCTACGACTCGAAGAAGATGTTTTGAGCCTTTATGGCTCAATGAGGAAGTGCAACAAGATGGATTAAAGTCCATGAGGACTCGAGGAGAATTTCCCATGCAATAAAACAAACAAAAGGAGAATTAGCACCTTAATCAAATGATTAGAACAAAACAAAAATAGAAGATGTGAGCTACTTAGAAAATATGAGCTAGAAAAGGGATACGAAATCTCAATATATATCCCATATGAAAGCAAAACAGGGGACTATGGAGCACTAAACAAATGTTCAAAAGAATAAAGCAAAGCCATCATCCATCTAGATTATTAGTGATAATTTAAGGCTATATAAACCATTTCAAACCCAAAGAAAACCATGTGACAGTGAGCAGCAAACAGACTGCAGATCAAGCACAGAGGGGCATTGATCCCTTTCCATCGTTTAAGCCACTGAACACATATAAAGGGCATATACGCGAAAACCACTCGATAACCAAAATCACGATAAAGAGAAGGCTTAGCTGTAGGACGAAGAGTAAATTCCTCCTCCAAGATAGCCACAACTCGAACATGTAAATGCTTCTACCCCCATACGACAACTAAGAATACGATAAAGAAAGAATCACCGACATATATTAGAAATAAAAAAAACTCGATTAGGAGAGGTTCAAGCAAAGAAGGGCTACAGATACAAGGTCATTAAACTTTACCATAACATTCTTAAGCAAATATAAAGGCTATTCGACAAACAATACGAGTTTTCTCGTTCGAACTTACACATTCACAAACAAATATGATTGAAGGAACTAGAGTGTCTATAGATCAAAACAAACATTATACTACTTACAAGCTCGTCCAGGCCTAAACGAACAACTCGAGCGAAGTGAACAACATGAATAAACTTAAGACAAGATGATCGAAACAAGAGAAGACTATACTTCAAACATACACCTACATTCCAGCTTCATAACTGGCAGCAGCCATACAAATTACTAAAGCACAAGAAGAAACCATTTCAAAACACACAAAAAAAAATGAGAAATCGTACAAAGCAGGAGGGGTTACCTGTTTTAGAGCAGCCAACCGGAACAGCAAATAACGGTGAGGTCTTCCACCACAACAGTGAAACTCGAAAGGCGATATAGAACTCCTTGTAGGTAGAGATAGGACAGTGACGAACGTCTCTATGGTTTCAAGAAACTATCTCAAAATACTTATGTGTAGCGATATGGTTGGAAACTTGTAGCGATATTCCTCCGTAACACCTTTCTCTTTACTCCCTTTTTATCTATATTTTCTTTCTTTCCCCTTTTTTCTATCTATTTCAACTGAAGGGAGAGCATCCTTTTTATAGGGGTGTCGGCAGAAAAAGAAACGAAGAAGGAAAAAGATCAAAAAAAATGAGGGAAGAATCGTATTTTCCCTTGTTCCTCTTCGCCGTTGAGGAGGGACTGCTCATGCGCCTAAAGAATGAGGGAAATACGTAGGGAAAGGGATCGAACACGCGTGAAGAGGAGGGAGGGTGAGGATCGTCCAGCGCTACTGCTGGAGATCTTTGGCGAAGAGGAAGAAGGGGAAATTGGAAAAATGGGCTGGTAGAAGAGGAAATAAAAATGGGCCTGGGGCGGCTGCTGGGTTGTTTTAGGGAAATTGAAATGTGCTGGGAAGGAAGGATGGGTAATGGGACCAAAGTTGAGTTAAGTTGGAAGATGGTTAAATTTAATAAATAGCTAAATTGAGTTAATATAGTAAATTCGGTTAAATCTTAAATAAACGAATTAGTATTAATTAATCAGCGAGCTTCTTTATTTGTAATATAATTATTTTAATTGTAAAATAGTGATTCAAAGTATAACCATAATTTAATTTAAATTAGTTTAATAAAATGCTTTGCCAAAATTAAAATATTTTGTGAAATAATCGTAAAATATACTAATTATATACATAATCATGTAAAATATATATGTTATCTAAAAATTATAAGAAAATGGCAAAAATATCCAAAATAACGCGAAATTCATATATTATTATTATTTTTTCTCACAAAATTTATAAAACTAATTATTTTAAATTGTTTGGAAAATTTAAGAAGTCCGAAAATTATTTATACCGAGGAGGATCGAAATTGGATGTCAACGGTATGGTGGCTGATTTCATTATTTACGGATTCTCAAATTTGTGTATTTGTTTTTCTCCAAATAATACTTTAGTTGTTTGTGAAATATCTTGTATGTCTTGAAACTAATTAATACCTGTACCTGCACAAGTGAAGGTATAGTTAGTGAAAAAAATCTATCAACTTATTCCCCTCTTTTTATGCATGAGCTATTTCCACATGCTAATTGTTCATCATCTTTTGGATAGCCCTCACATTCACAAAAGGTACCTTCGATATACCATTTAGGATCTTCATAGTTAATGAATCAGATTCATGATTATATTGGTGTCAATCCATTAGCTAGACAATACTCCAAGTCACTCTCAATAACCTTGATTTCAGCCTTAATAGCTAAACAATTTTTCAAATTTCTGGCTTCAGCATTATAAAATCTCCATCTATGTTTCTGATACAGAATGCAAGGTTTCCCCTACTAGCCCCATTACTATTACATTTGAAACAATTACTAAATGACGCTTTTCATATCACTATTTTGCTGCAAATTAATGGGATGTACTCCTCTAGATATTTAACCATTCCTGACCATGTGTTAGGAACGTACACTACTCATCCATGGGACTTAGTCTTTACAAACCAAATCGATTGTCTTGTGATTCTCAGAATCATTGCTTTGATGGTCATATTAGTTCCATCCAATGCCCTACAAGCATCTTGCATATTAAAGGGTGAAAAATGGTATACGCGGGTATAATTTGATTCAAGATTATTTTAGGACAACTCCATATAGTAGGACAACATTAGAGAAGTCGAAATTGGAGATACCTAGATCTTCTCTATTGCACCAACATTTTCAAAAATAACAACAAATACATTGCTTGCACTATTCTAACAAGGACTAGGAGTTCAAATCTATTGAGGTACTTGCAGATGGGGTTCTTGCCTTCAACTTTTTCACTTCCTGTACCCTGGTATATAACATTTATTTTTGTTTCAACGACATTAGTGTTATTTTCAGTGTTGTCTTTTCTTTTTTGCGTAAGAGAATATCTCTTTTGTGGTTTATATTTTGCTTTTTGCAGTTTGGAAGAGCTATAACGTACACCTTGAAGTTTCATAAAAACATTTTCACCTGAAAAAATTCATACACTCCATTATTAAATTTGTTTTCTGGATGTTCTGCTGCTAATGTTTATTCTGAACTATAATTTTTGTTGGACATTCTATATATTCTATATACATGTCATATTTATGTATGATTTCCATAATGCACAACTCGTGTTTCCCAATATGTATAAAACAAATGAATAATATTTTTTTCTTTTATCCTCCTCTTCGACATTTTCCTCCTGTTTTTTCAATTGAATAAACAAGCGATGATTGTAATCGAAAAGTCTATGAAATAATTGTAGGTACAACAACAAATAGAAATGAAAAAAATATGAAAAGTAGTTGTTGTTTTTTCACTAAAGAAATTAGGATGACAAATTGAAATTAATTTTTTATTAGTGTATTAATTCTTAAATGTAGAAAGTGAATCACTTTAGTATGAGCTGCAATACACATTAGGTGTGGTAATAAACCTTTGGCTTGGTTTGTCTACCTTCAAACCCCCCCCCCACCCCATAAAAAAAAAAAATTTAAGTTTGGCTTTGAGAAATATTGTAAACTTCAAAATTTCATTTTTTTACTCCTACCCTTGACCTCCTTCCCTTCCAAAAAAAAATCAATATTGTTTTTTTTTTAAAAAAAAATTAACTTCAAATTTTTATTTTTCTAGTAAGTAAAAAATAAAAGATATTTTTCAAAAATAATTTTCATTCAAAAACTAAACAATAAAGTATTTTCTAGTCACCAATGAAACATCATAAAGTAAGTCAAATATCTACTTGTTTTCCAGAAAAATATTTTTTAGGAAAACATTTTTCATAAAAAACATTTTCTTTTTTACCAAACACACCCTATATAGTTATAGTTAGGGCAAGATAAAATACTTGAACTCAGTTAAAGGGCAGTTCGGTCATTCTTCAACTTAGAGCTGATCCTTTTTCTTTTCTACAGCTTCTAACGCCGCCTCAACCTTGCTTCCTCTTCCTTTTCTCTTCTTCCCAGCTTTGCCGCTTTCTGTTATCCTCGGCTTCGTCGTTCTGTCCAGGTGACCATGCTTTTCACTTGTATTGATTTTGATTCCTTAGTTGTGTTTCTGTTAATTGATTTTGCGATATTTGGTGCTTGATTTGTATTCCACAATTTCTTTGGGACCTCTTCTTAATCAAATAATTTGGGTAGTTCTTTTTGGTGTAATCTATGAGAGCTTCTGCTAGTTTACGAATATCATAGTCATCACTGTTGATCTGGCTTAGTAGTTTGATGACTCGATACGATTTGGGTCCGAAGAGAGTTTTTGTTGATTTGGGGTTTCCATTGAAATAGAGCTTGTCAAAAAAAGAAGGTTAGTTTTTCTTGTTGGACAGAATCTGTGGTTTAAATAAATTTGTTCATAGCTGCAATAACTGAAAACAGGCAAAAATAGTTAAGGAAGACATATACCTGTTTCAAATGGAAAACCACATCAAAATAGTTGAATTATGTACCTTCTTTGTGTTCTTAAATTTGGAATAGGCGAGAAAATGAGATGGGGGCAAAGATTATGTACTATAAATCAAATCTTAGCCCATAAATTGAGAGCTCTGATAGTCGTCCAACTAACTTGCTAAGATTTATCATGTCGCGTAGGACAATTATACATTTTAGGACTAACAATTTTTCACATACTTCACTTTACAGGTGATTCCTTATCTTCTTACTTTCGCCACCAAACGTTACCTTCTTAATTAGGTGCTTCGGGGAAGTTTGGAGCCACCTATTACCTTAGGTGAGCATACTCCACAATGACGTTTTCCGTTATTTTGTTCCTTAACTATACTTCGGTAATTTTATTTTGTCATTCTTTTTGGATTTGTTTGTATGCACAGATTTTGCGAGTTTATTCACTCCTCCTGTTTGAGCCGCTATTAGGCTCAACATTCAGCACATGTAGAGAGCAACAAAATGTCACTCCTGAGGTCATTTCTATCCAAAACTTGACATCCAACACATGTACAGAACAACACAGTGTCACTTCTGAGGTTGTTACAAAGAAAGGTTGGTATTCATTTTATGCGACAATAATTTCTCCTATTGCTGCGTTGGAATGTTAGACTATACTAAGTTTTGATAGTACTTATAACATACAGGTCGGTTAAAAAAAAACTCCCATAAAAAATTTAATGTTAATCGATCTACTTATGCATGCTTAAAAGATGTTCCCAATTGTAAGCTTTTGCAATGCAAAAAGATTTTAATATGAATTGCCTAACTTTTGTTGTGGTAATGTCTCAATTAAGTTAGTTTCATACCAACTACCTGATGACTTGTCTGATCTATATATGGGAAATACTAAAGAATCTATGCACTTTCAAACTTACATTAGAACATATAATAATATGCTTGTGTTCATCTCAATTGGCGTAACCTACGACAAAGCTTTAGCTAAGAGATGACATGGTATATATAAATTTCGCGTGCAAGGATAAATGTATCATTTTATACCTGATTTACTCTCCTCCACTGAAAAACCAAAGAACCTGCAACTATACTTTTATGATAATGAAAGTGAACTAGCAAAAAGGATGGCCTATTCAACGCATATTAGTGAATCAATTGTCAGGAAACTTATGAATTTTTTTTTTGATAAAGTTAAGTTTTATCCATCAGCAATGAGGGTATGCTAGCAACTATCAAAAGATTTATATCAGTGACTCAAGAAATTGCTATTAAATTTATAAAGAAGAGAAGAAATTTAAATCTGTCCAACATCCTCTATACCCTCCTCATTATACCGAAAACAGAAGGTCTTCATACAACGCCATTTGATATTTTTTATTGATTCTACAGTATTTCCCATACACCTCTTATTTCTTTCTCTCCAAATAGTCCACCATATACAAGATAGTATCATGTTCCACCATTTCTTCTGGCTCTTACTTTCCCCTCTTCTCACCCAGCAATTGAGAAGGTCTGCAATGTGTTCTGCTTAGAAAAATGGCCCATAATTGAGCAGTGACTTTGAAATGGAGGAATAAATGGCTATTAGTCTCATTATACACTGAGCACCATGAAGATATTTCAAAGCCTACTCTTTGCAACTTCTCATGAGTTAGGCATGCCCTTCTAGCCACTAGCCATGAGAAACACCTCACTTTAGTTGACACTTTATTTTTCCATACCTTACTCCATGGTCCAAAGAGTTCCCCTAGAAGTTCCTTCACTTCCCTATTGTACTATTTGCTGATTGACAGCATACCATCATGCTTGTGTTTCCAAATCATTATATCAACTTCCAGATTTGTGCCCTTGAAATCATCTAGTGTTTGTAGCATCTTGGATACTCTCCCATCTCCCAGTCTTTTAGTAACCTTCTGAAATTCCACCCCAGACCAAACTCATTTAGCATTGCATCTGAAGACAAGTTGAGGATATATATGTTCAGATAGGAAGACATCAAGGAGTCCTGACTAATCCAATGATCTTTCCGAAAAAGAACCCTGGTCCTATTCCCCACTTTTTATCTAATATTGTGTTGTAGTTGGCCCCATAAATTTTTGATACTTCTCAACACCGAGACACCATACGAGATACTAATCCAGTGATTTTTCCAGAAAAGAACCCTGGTCCCATTCCCCACTTTGTATCTGATAGTTCTTCACACTGAGACACCATACGGGATATTCAATAACTCTGCTTAATGATGATGCCATTTTCATTTTTACCAATGCACTATGCCACACCTAACGGTAGTTTATCCACATTTTCATTCTTCCGGTACCATACTAGAGATAATCAGTGAACTTCCTTACATATAAAACTGACACAAAAGTACAACTTAATCAACATTTGCAAGCCATAATTGGAATTAAATAAGAACCGAATAGAAGTTTATTTATATAGTTCACTAATCAACACACTTGTAACTAAATAAAAATATACTTTTACAACCTTACAACTACCAACCATAAGCATAAGACGATAAAAGAATATAAGTATCCTACATTCAATGAACACACATAACTACATATACAAAACAGACCAACATGTGCAGACATAAGACAATTTTCCAATAAACCCACCTAAGGAATAAGCAACTCTTTTTTTCTTATTCTTAGTATAGGTTATTCGTATGAACATATGTTATGATCATTATGCAACTTTAGCACCGCTTTTAAATACTAGAGATAGTAAGTGATCAAATAGGGAAAAAGATGAAGACTCTCAATCAAAACTTACACAAAAGTACAACTAAATCAACATTAGCAGGCCATAATTGGATCTAAATAAGAACCAAATAGAAGTTTATTTATACAATTGTAGAAGTAGCACAAGAACTTTTTGAATTCTAGAAAATCTAAGAAAGCACATAACTCAGTGCTTACTATCTTCATATAAAACCTTAAACATATGCATATAATTTTAAGGACAATTACACTTGCTTGAACCTTCAGAAGCAAGGTATGTGGTAAAATCTAGAGAAGTAACTATGCTCGATGGGAGCAGTGAACAAGGTATCAGGGGAAATTAGTGACACAACCAAATAAATTCATCTATATATACTAGGCAATTAAAGGCCCGATTACGGGCCCAATATTACAATCTTATATATGTTTATAATAGAAATTTGATTAGCTTTTTAAAGAAAGATTATTATGATACTTTCAAATAAGCATGATGGTAAATTATAATAAAACACAATAGGTGTTAAAAAAACCAAAAATAATGACCTACTTGATGAAAATTAGAATGAATCATCTTATTCTTTACAAAGTGGTAAAATGATGAAAAAAATTATGACTTTGTCTTGTCTTAATATTTATTAGAATTAGGAGAACAATTTAGTATAATAAAGAAAGAATTTTTTAGAATAATTAATATATATGATGAATAAATGTTTTATCTCAAATGGATTAGAATTTAAAAATATTAACAAAAGTTGATATAATATATACAATAATAATTTAACACGAGGTAGTTAATATTATAATTTATATAACTTGCTTAAAATTATTTTAACTAATGATAAACTAATAGTAATAAATAAGTATATGTTTTTCGATAAATTATATTATGAACTATATGTTATGTAAAGTTTTTGGATTAAACGTAAAAATAGACATCCAAGTAAATTAGATATTTCAAAAATTATCTTTGCAATTTTTTAAAAAAACACCATGAAGTTGAAAAGTCTAAAAGGAAACCAAATGAAAGGACACAACATGCGACGAAATTATTGAAAATTTTGTTCTTGCAGAGCTTGCTTAGTGGTTGCATTCCTTTTGGATTAGACATTTTGAGAAACATAATTGTGATTGACATTGAATTTAACATGTTAACTAATTCGTTAGGGTATTTAAACAGTGTGGAACAGTTGAATTTTGCTGAAAATTGGCTATATGGACAAGTCCTAGAAGTGATACGTCAACTAAGAAATATTGAATTTTACTTTTGTCTTATAATTATTTTACTAAATAGAAATAATTATATAGGGAATTGATAAAAAATGAAGTTCTTCATATTGGAAAAAAAACTGCATTAATGGTCTTCCTAATAAGAGATATATGCTAGAGTGTATAATATTTAATAGACAAATTAGAAATAAAGGGCGATAAATTTATTGGTATAAAACATGAGAGGGAGAAAACTGAGAAGCGAATAAAATGAAGAATGAGGTAGTGTCTGTTTATTTGTGCCATAGACTTAGTTCTAGAAAAATCTTATAATTTATAGTTTCTAGAGAAGTCATGTAACTCGTGAATGAAATTTACCCACTTAAAAGAAAATATTTTGACAAGTTTAAAAGTATAATTCATAGAAGTTTAAAATGAAATCTATATGAAATTACCATATTACCCTTGATTGTCAACAACTTTACAGTTCTATATAGTAGAATTCTAAATATTTTGCGCACAAAATTTAACTAAAACGACTTCAACTAAGATTTTTTAAAATAAAATGAATAATATTTTTTCATGACCAAACAACACTAAAAAAAGGAAATGATTAAAAGCCCTCATATTTGATTTTTTTTGTATGAAAATATTTCATTACAAATTATACATTCAAAAATAAAAAGAATTTTCTTTAAAATGTATCTACTTGAATGTATAGATTATTGTAGTAAATTAATAAATGGGGTTCATGTACCTTTTCAATGATTTCTTTTACTCCTCCCAATGTACTGGTACACATGTGGCTATTACAATCCACAACTATTGACTCAGCACATAGGGAATTGCATAAAGTTTGGTTGGTTGTTTTGGAATTTTAATACTTTATGCACAACGTAGAATTAAACTGAGTTTTAATTTTTTTTTGATTGACAGAAATACCCTTGATCGTTCTCTCTTTACCTTTCTATATAATAAATATAATAATAGCAAAAGGCCTGTGATACGGGCTCAATATAGCAAATTATTAGTTGTTATTAACAAATATGAAAAGTTATTTTAATAACATTATTACCAACATTAATTAACACTGATTTTAGTGCAAAATTTAGTCTAAATAAAATAATAAAATAACCATCAAATAATATAGTGCATCAACATTAATTGATATTGCTCTTCTCTTAATCAAATATCTTGATTTTGAGTTTGGGATATGAAAAAAGATCTTAATAGGGAACACTATATCCAAATAGGCCTTATTTCGACGCAAAGTATAATTAATCGAACTTTCATATGAATATCACATAATTATTAAAATTACTATTAGCAATTTCCTATTTTTGTCATCTCTTTCTCAATAGTAACCAACTTAAATTTATTTACTTCTCTAACCAATGTATTGATTTTATGAGTTTCAATTCTTAACATCTTATTTGAGACAAAAGAAAAGCAATATTAAGTAAATGAAGTACATAATCTACTATAATTAAAGAAATTTTAATTTGATTAATTTTAAAATATAAAACATTTTAACATCAAAATATTCTTATTATCAATGTACGTAAATTGTTCAGGAAAAAATTATTATTTCTCTTCAATATTTGATTCGCAAAATTTTAAAACTCTAACCAAAGAACTATTATTATAAATTTAGTAAGTCTCTTA